CACTGAGTAATGGTCTTAAAATTTCCAGTCGTATGCTCGAATGGGTCACTGGGACCGTTACCTATACGAAAAAAACATTCTTATTGACCCAAATTCGACTTTGATTGAACGTTTCTACACAGCATAGTGTTACGCGATGGTTCGTGAAAATCAACTCAGAATGAATCTTCGACGATAGAATATTCGAATATAATATAATCGAATATAATTTACCAAATTACCAAAATAGCACATGTCAACTCTTCAAAAATCTAACCTCGTCTGCTGAAAACCCCCATACAATCCGGTATTTCTTCGCTTATCTCGCACCGCACACTTTTACCGAAAACGTACACGTTGTTATCGCCAAACATATTTTCGTTCACGTTCGCTATGAAGCGGTACAGGCGCAAATTTCCCAATGTTCATAAACCGCAAAATTTGAAAAAAATACTTTTTTAATTCTAAAGCGACTACCCGTTACAACTTCAACATTGCGTGATTTTATCTTGACTCTTTAAGTGTTTAAAGGCTGTTGGATGTAAAATGAAATTGACTCGTTGAGAATATTGGTTCGAAGCCCCATTTGAGTAGGAAAGCTTTGTAAAAATGGGTTGAGAACCCAAAGCGTTTTAAATTCCATCAGAAAATGAGGATTGTTTACGACTATTACTGTATTTGTTTTCCTAAGATATTTCAAGAAAGTACTCTCGTTGCGAACGTAGTCTACGTCTCTGTAAATATTTTCTTAGCATAGGTAGAATACACAATAAGCAAACGTATTGTGCTGTTACACGCGAGAGAAATAATGCAAATTAGCCTAAAACAATTCGGAGAACGTGCAATTTGATTTATATTTACATAAATTGTATTATTCGGGTGAGGTTCACCTTCGTGTAACTCAATTAACATTTTATTTACATACATATACAACCAAATAATACATCCTATGTAACGTTGTATTTATTCGCCAATATTCGTAAAATTGCACTTCTCATTTTATTAAAAAATTCAAAAAGGCCCACAAAAGATTTCACCTATCAATGCGACTGACTGCAGTTCTCTATTATAAACGTTGAGCTTGAAACATTTCTTTGAGACTACGAAAAGACGTAGCACAGCAAACAGCTCGGATTCAGAACATGCAAATGAAGCAAACTTATACAAGAGTTCGTCAAAGACTTGAATCTGGTGAATTTGATATCAAGTAATAGTTGCATCTGGGAATACACATATTAAGATTAATTAAAAGAGCTGCTTTTCAAGTAGACGTGTTACAATAAAATCGTTAGGGAATTTACAAACTATTACTTAAAACTAAATGCAATAAAAAGTCCCTAGGAAGATTTCTTTCCCCCATTTTGTTCCAATATGGCGGAATTGGATGATTCACGAACTTGACCTTTATTTTTGCACAATACGACGATGCATCCTAACAGCACACGGAACGCTACATTTCGTGAATTTTCCAAATATTGAATAACGAATTTCTCCAATTTTTTGTATATCAACTATAGGCATATTTTATGTTGTCATACGGAAAATTGATTGCTCTTTTTTTTTTAAATATGGTAAAAAATATAAGCATTGCATTTGAAAAACAAAAGTTGCATCGATCTCATCTCGAATGCACTGTATATAAACCTATAAAAATAGCTATTGGTACCACAGATTTAATTAAATCTGTGCTGGTACCATTACAATGTACCTAAAAATTGGCACGGTCAGATTCGAACTAAGCAAAAATTACGTAAATCATTACAATTATATCTAGAAAAAATAAAAGCAGATCAACAGAATAAAAATTCTGGTGAATTGACGAAACCTAAAATGGATTGGCAATAGGGACAACTGTAGAAAGCTACATGAGCTCCCTTATTATTATAAATTACCTCACCACGTAAAGGAATCGAAAACATTCATCCAATTACGGAAGCTAATGAAAATAATGTAGGTAGTAAAGCCAATACTTCTAATAGATACCTAAAAAAGTAACTTCGAATATACCATCGAGTTTGATGTTGAGAATTTAACGAGAAATGATTATAACGTCATAAATTTAATAAAATTAATGGACTTTACCAAATCCTTAGGAATAGTCATTTCGGGATTATACCCGTATCGGCTGCGGAGAATATTGTTAAACTTAGTGTAGATTTCTGAATTAGTCCCCTCGCAAATCCCACTTACGGAATCAAGCGCCGTAAAATATACGCGTCTTGTTCGTAATCGGGGTAATTAAGACGTCTCCAACTCAGAGCGTAACGCCGTTACCTTCGGGGTGTAAGATTATCTAATCTACACGTATGATACCAACAAATTATAGTTTGATGTGTGAAACTTACCCCTAGATATGTATGTCAATTATGCAAGATTCAAGGGTTAAATTATGAACAGCGCTGAAGAAAGTTACGAAAACTTATTCCAACAAGTGCAAATGTGCTTTTCTATGGTAGATACTTATAAATTCGTTTCAGGACTAAAAAGACCTCCACCTCCACCAAAAATGTTCTCTACCGGGACCATTATCGGGCATTTTCAGAGCCCTTAACGCTGTGGTAATCACTTCTAAAAAGTTTAATGGCGCAATTCCTTTCTCGAACGTTGGAACTCTATTGTTTAACATTTGATTGTTTAGTTTCAGGGATATTCCATGAAAACTACAAACCTGGCATTTGTTAACGTCTTTGGAGCATTGGTTAAGCGATTGTACACGGGGTGGAATCTGCGCTAGTCGTTATCGCAGAACGCCTGATTCAGGTTAAACCGTCCACTAGAAGGATCCAGAAGAAAAATTTTAAGCAAAGAACCAGTCTCAGTAGTCTGGTAGGGGTAAAGATAACTTGCCCAATCGGGGTTGATGTAGTACTGATTCAGTGTCGCAAATCCTTCTTGTTCATCGGTAACATCGGAGAGGATTTTATAATCGGTCCATGCAGAGCACAGCTGGAGGACGAACTATTTTCATTTTGATTGGAAGCCGTGACCAGAACGTATCCAGAATTCCTGGTGCACAAACAATGAACAATCAACATACAAAAACAGACAATAAAGGAATTACTCTATCGCGTTGTAGATATTGTTGCTTTGTAAAATTGAAATAGCATTGTGGCGTCTTTATTTACTTACAAACTATTGAAGAAAATTTTATGCTTAAGTGCTATTTAATTTTGTATACTTGTAACGATTGGTTTCAATTAGTAAAAAGGTGGTTGGGTAATTCCTCCTCGCAGAGGGGTGTAAATTTGTCTTAGTATCTTGTGATTTGTGAAGGGCTGAAAATTTTCTCGGACTTGTGGTGCAAATGCTTTTTATAATTTCTTCGTCTAGCTCAGGTAAAAAATGCTATAAAGGTGGGAAAAAATTTAGTTCATTCAGTTTTGACTGATAGGTCATTAATTTTCAATAACCCGTTATCAAAATTTGAAAAAATACTGGATTAGAACCAATATGTTTTGGAAAGTTTATGTAATCTGTATTTAGACCTCTCTTTGAAACAAATATCCTTTGTAGAACAACAATAATTCCTAGTTATTTCAAAATTGAGATAAATTAATTATCTCAATTTGCGCAATTTCATATACACGCTGAAAAGAGAAAAACTACCGAATTCCTACCAGTTATTAATTAAAATACCCAATAACCCTGTTCTAAAAATATAATGATTAGGTACGTCCATATAAACAAATTTCAAATAAGTAAAAGTTTTGCAAAAAAGTGTATGGCAACGCTTTTTAACTGAAATGCAATCAAAACGTAGAAAATGAAAGATTAGTTACATACCTTTGTCAATGATGCAGCCGGAACCGGTCGCTGGCCTTAGACAAATGAAGCGATTATCGTCTTCGATGCAAATTTTTCCTCAATTTGCTCTGGTCTAGTTAACGTAGTGGAATCTATACCGCTTTCTCTCGACTTTGACTGGATATATTTTTTGTGGAAATTCTCTAAAATTTAATGCTGGCCGGTACAAAATAACCGCGGGCTTGTTAAGACAATCACATGCATTACCCGTCGCGAAATTTAGCAGCATCGTTTTCTCGTTGTCTCTAGTATTCACCACTCCCACCAGCAAATAAACTCTTTCCTTAAATATTTCAAATAACACGGTAATCACCAACAGAGCGTGCCAAACGTCCCCACTTCCCCAATATGAAACGCGCAATTCTTTTAAACACCTGCGTCTTCTTTATCAACACCAAAACACGTGCGTTAATTAATTTTCGCCTTATCGCAACGACCATATAAAACACACAAATTAGAGCAGATGTGTCTTATTTCTAATATCCAAATTGAATAATTACAAAAGTGATAATATTTAAACAAGTTTAAACAAAAAGTAGGCAATTACAAACAATTCTAAAAGGAAAAAATCACCGAGATACAAATTCAAGTGAAATAAAGCAACTTTGTGTTTATTTCGTAAACAATCCTCCAGACTTTCTTAATAAATTTGAATAATACCACACGGAGGGTGGTTCGTGACGACGTTATCACTTACGTTGTGCTCCTCCCGGGCGGTTGTTACTGAGTTGGGACTGAGACGTTCATGGTAAGAGGCGGCGAGGCTCTTCCGCCAAGAGGGGTGATTGTGGATGTGGATGCCATCTGGGGGTTATATCGAAAACTTTCGTACATTGGAAATTGACCAAATGCCGACACATGCACCTGCTCTTATGAATGGTCGATTGCAAAACTCTACTTAAATGTATAACGAAGGTAGGTATATACCCAACCCAGCAAATGTCCGGTATCCGGGAATTTTTTTTCAAATTCTAGAAAAACTCCTAGGAAAATTTGGGATTCTATTCGCAGATACAAATAACATAATGAAAAACTCATATTCAGGCTTTATATGCAAGCTTGCAACGGTTGTGGTTACCTCTATAATCTTTGTTGCGATGTATATAAATACCCAACACTTATAGGCAACACACATAACTCATTTCTCCTATCTATTTATTTTGAAGTGCATTGTATATCGACCTAAATAAATCAGAATACGAAGACTGTAGAAGGTAGATGAACCACATCCACATGTTTTAAATGGGGATGGAAATGGAACAGATTTAACTAAAAATGGGTTTGGTTCAACCATGACGCCATCAAATACTTTGTTTATTCAGTAAATGAATCATTAATTAATGTTTCTTTTGATTATATACAATATTACTTTTAATACCTTTATCTATGCAACATTTATGTTAAGTTAAAATGTCATTAAGTGCTAGTGCCGAAAATTTAACAACAGATTCACAGGTGTGCACCCCCCAATTTATCCACAATAACTCACGATGTTTATATTTTTATTAGCCGTACGATGGTTCTAGCAATATGTGCTTGGAATTGGCGTTGGAAGGTGAACGTCTTTGCAAATCGGGCGATTGTCGTGCAGGAGTCGCCTTCTTCCAGGCTGCCATTCAGGCGGGTACAGACGACTTGCGTACGTTAAGTGCTATTTATAGTCAACTGGGTAATGCCTACTTTTATCTCGGAGATTACGGAAAGGCAATGCAATATCACAAACATGATTTAACCTTAGCAAGGTAAGATTAGAGGTGGAGGGCTTGCCCTTGATTAGTAATCTTGTCCTAGAACCATGGGTGATAAATTGGGCGAGGCGAAATCATCTGGGAATCTAGGAAATACCTTGAAAGTGATGGGACGGTTCGATGAGGCTGTGCTTTGTTGTAAGAGACATTTGGATTTATCAAGAGAATTGAATGATAGGCAAAGTGAAGGACGTGCTCTTTACAATTTGGGCAACGTGTACCATGCTAAGGGGAAGCATGTTGGGAGAATTGGAAATAAGGAGCCTGGCGAGTTTGCAGAGGACGTAAAGTCGTGCCTACAAGAAGCTGTGGGATATTATGAGTAAGACTGGCGGGGATAAATTGTTTTGAGTGCGGTTGTTGTGTTTTAGAGAAAATTTGATTTTGATGCGTGAGTTGGAGGATGTAGCAGCGCAAGGTCGTGCCTGTGGTAATTTAGGCAACACTCACTATCTTTTGGGAGATTTCGCGCAGGCAATTCGTTACCACGAAGAGCGACTGTCTATTGCTAGGCAGTTTGGTGATAAATCGGCCGAGAGGAGGGCCCACAGTAACTTGGGGAATTCTCACATATTTTTAGGACAGTTTGATGATGCCGCTCATCACTATAAGTACGTATTAGTAGTAATAACGATAAATTCGAATTAATGTGGTGGTTTAAGGCGAACTTTAGCTCTGGCTCAAGAGTTGGGTGATCATGCGGTGGAGGCACAGGCCTGTTACAGTTTGGGTAATACGTATACATTGCTAAGGGATTATGATACGGCCATAGAGTATCATTTGCGACATTTGCTAATCGCTCAGCACTTGTCGGATCGTGTCGGGGAAGGTCGAGCTTGTTGGTCTTTAGGCAATGCGTACGCCTCACTTAGTAACCATGAAAAAGCCCTTAATTTCGCAAATAAACATCTGGAAATTAGCAAAGAGGTAAGGAACAGTCGGCTATGGACAGAGACAACATTTAGTTAGTCAACATTTTTAAAATGCAATGATGAAACAATGATTCTCTTAGTCATTTTCAAAGGTTACTTGGGTAATTTTCTCTGTTTAGGAACAACAATTGAAGGTATTAAATCAGTCCCTAATCCCTATCCCCAAAGTACAAATTTTTACAAAAAGGGCAATAGTTTTTATTACTAAAGTAAAAAGTCAGTCATTTTCGATAATGGGAAAGGGTGGAGTTAGATCACTTTGCGGTAACATTACACCTTAAGAGAATTATATCCCCCCCCCCCCCAAAGCTACGGTCGTAAGATAGGAAAGGTAGGTTCAGTTCGACTTCCTGTACAACGGATTTTGGATGTTAAGGTAGGTACCTCAGCAATGTAAACTAAATAAGAATCTTCATTGGATATTTGCAAACTTTTCAGTATCGGTAGCTGGAATTTGCAATTGCTGTTGTAGACCCAGGGAAAATTGTGCTTTCACAAAAGTACAAATCATTTATTGGTGACAATTTTTATGGTAAATCCAGTCTATCACGAAATTGTCAGATAGAAAAAATGTGATTTCACTTGGCTTCCTACACAAAATCTTGAATAATAAAATAGATTGTCCCAATATTCTATCCGAAATTGGTTTATACAGGGTTTTACGAAATTCGCGCCTACAGACAATGGAGGCCTAATTCTGGGACAAAACTGAATAGAAAACCCTATTACACTTTTGTGATCAGATAATTATTTTCAATAGCTGTCTACCATTTGCTGCTGAACATGCTTCTTCTGCACGTGTTTGTTTGAACATGATGTTGAAAAGAATTTGTTTGATTGGAAAAGTAATAGGGTTTTCTATTCAGTTTTGTCTCAGAATTACGCCCCCATTTGTTCATGGGCGAGAATTTCGAAACACCCTGTATGTCCAAGTGTATAGTGGTAGATACAAAAATTTCGTATTACGCGTCTGTACACCAACAGTAGACGTAACCACCCCCTTCAATGGTTAAAATGAAAAACACATATAATGAACTTGCTCAACGCTTGCAAATTTTGTTGTTTTCGAAGAAACTATGTGCGGTTTAGGAAACTATGTCGCTGACAATTATGTTTATTTTCCAAGCACACACTCACTGATTTACATGCACATACATCCACACAAAACACGTTTTGATTGCCCAACCCTGTATAATTAAAACCTACCTACCTAGTAGACATTAAAGAACCCCAAAACTTTTGTATGAAACTTTTTTTGATATCCTGTATATTTTCTCCGATAATCGTCTGTTTCCAAAATTACCAGAGACCCTGTATGGTGCATACAGGGTGTTAAATGTATGTTAAAAAAAATAGGGTTACATAGGGGATCAAAACAAGCACTTTTTCCAAATAAACCGGGGGTCCAACGTGTTTCAGATACCAAGTTTTGTCAATGTTAGAATTTTTTCGCGCCCTCATTTAGGGGTGCGCCCTTTCGTTGTAGGAATTTTGAAAAAAAATTTTACAACATCGGAAAGAGCATGCCCGAAAAACTGTCAAAGACGTGCCACGAGTCATTTTAACAATTATGTTTGTTGAGAAAAAAATTAAAGAAGGAATGCAAATGTTACCAGTTTTGTGGGGGTGGCTCCCAAACGAAACACGTTGGATCCTCGGTTTATTTGGAAAAAATGCTTGTTCTGATCCTCTATCCTACATACAGGATGCTCTTTTTCGCGCATCTTGTAAAGCGGAGTTTAATTACAAGTCCCCTTTGATTATCTCAGGGCATGTTTTACATCATACATGAATTCGTGTCATTTATTATTTTTCTCCCAACTTATGCTTCATATCTCCCGATTAGCTGGGCGATGCCGTCGGGGAATCTACTGCGAAGGTAAACATAGCGGACCTACGTAAGATAATGAACCTTCCAGAGAGCGGGACCAACTCAGAACTTTCTAGTCAAGAAGCCACAAGTCCCGTTTCGCCATTCGCGAACGAGCGCCCACCCTCGATCAACCGGATTCAAAGGGTGAGACGCGAAAGCATGGAACAGCTCAGTCTTATTAAGGTAGTGGTGCTTTGTGTCTTTTGTAAATATTATTTATAACGCTTAGCGATCGCCAGATGATTTTAAGGTCTTTTTGTTGTATGTGTTGTGTCGTTGGCATGATCGTCCTGCATGCGTTTAGGTATTGCGGCTCTTAAAAAAGTTTTGTTTGCACATTTTGTATTTTGCTCGTTGAATGTAATTTACAATGTATAGGGTCGCTCGCTAATTTGGGACATTAGGAGGACTAAATTCATAAAAACGCCAGTAATGTAAATATCTGTCATTCGTCCACTCCATGTGTTTAAACTATCGTTGAACTACTGATATCATATTTATTAAGTGTTTTTGAATTCTGGATGGTTGATTTTTGGAACAGATGACTCCCGACAATAAAACACGGCCCGGTTTGACGCTACAACCTCCTCCAGCCATTGCCAGAGCACCATCTCCTACGAAAAACGAGGATGAGGACTCATTCTTCGACCTGCTGTCCCGATTCCAATCCAAACGCATGGACGACCAACGCTGCGCCCTAAATCTCGATAACAAAGAAAACACCAACGTTTCCAATCTACCGCGTGACGGTCCGGACGATCTAATTGACATGATCGCGGGAATGCAGAGCAAAAGAATGGACGAGCAGCGCGTTTCCTTGCCGCACCTGCCAGGTACCTTCGGCGGACGAATTCGGATTTAATTTAATTCTCGAACCCGCAGGACTGCAAACCAACTCCCTACAGAGATTAGCCGACTCGAACCGCAACAACATTCCCGACGATTCGTTCCTGGACCAATTGGTACGCTGTCAGGATTCGCGATTGGAAGATCAAAGGTCGCCGCTTCCCGCGCCGGCCGTCGACAGCGAGTCGGACTCGCCCATGGCGCCTAACGAGAGCAGCGCCGGAAAGAGCGGCGCCACGGTCCCAGATGAGGATTTCTTCTCGCTCATTATGAGGTTTCAGTCGGGCCGAATGGACGATCAAAGAGCTAGCATTCCGCGAATGGACCACAAGTGAGTATCCTGCGAAGTTTGCAATGTGCTAATTGGTTGTCTCGAAGGATTGCCAATGGTAGTGTACCACTTGCCCATAGTGATTCTTCCAATAACAATGCAAGTGGCAAGAAAAAGAAGTAGGTGTTCGAATATCAGTACTTGAATTTTATTCTACGACTGCCAGTTTTATTAGATTACTTATACTATGTAGTGCAAATTGTACAGTGTGTTCACAATTTAGTTTTCTCTGCACAGTACATCTGGTATTTGACGTTTGGTCAAGATTTCGCCTTACTGCTTTCAGTTTGATACTCTACAGGATGATCCTTCATGTTTCAGGTGTAGTAAGTAAGCCAATACCGTCATGGAATGCTACTTCAAGGTAGGTACTATACAAATTACCGATTGTTGCAAAATTATTTGGTGTTTTGATAGGTAACACTGATCTTGACTGAAAACTTGTGAACACACTTTGCCCTTTTATTTTTTAATGTAAGTATTTTATACAAAAAATTTTATATTTTAATCGTCCACGCTGTATTTACTTAACTTGATGGTAGGCCTAATAGTCGTTCACTAGTCCATTATTTGGACAAAACAGCACAAATCTCATGTCTTCTAAGCAGTTAGATTATGTATATATAGAGTTAAGAGTAAATTTGTTAGCTCGGTACAGTTTTCTCGGCTTCCAAATTACCCTTAAAATTGGGAATGAACACCATTACGAAACAGACTGTGCCGATTTAATAGATTTATTAGAAAAGTAATGTAAATTTGTGCCAAATTTAATACTCCATTTTACACTGAATTAGGTAATTAAAATTGTTGGTACCAAATCAGGGATATTCTACACTGAGTGAGTCATAAATCCCTCTAGGTATTGCTAGTTATTCGATGTCTCATCTAATTTTTTATTTAGATGGCAGCAGTTTTGGGGGCATCATATAAAGAGAACTGTATAATAGAGGGTAGGATACGTGGCTCTCTCTGTGCGTAATTATTAACCTTCCACTTCACTGGCATAGTGTATAATTACAACTATTATCGAAATATAACAGTATTAAAATATTGGAATCTTAGAATATTAATTGATGCAGTATAGAATTCGATTAGCCAAAGAATTGTTTGTAAAGTTTTTACATTATATACATTTTATTATCTAAAGCAAACTGTTGAATTTTAAACTGATTATATACTTCAAAATGTGGTACAAAAGTAAACATATTAAATGAAGATTGTATTGATTTCTAAAATATCCTTTCACATAATGGGTAAGAGGTACGTAGACAATTTGGAAATTCTGATGTGCTTCCATTTGATGTCAACTACTGAATAGTGGTTTATACAGCAAGTAATGTTATGGTGCCATTTACAGACAGCAATTCTAGGGCTTCTTTAAATATATTTGGTAGGTACAACATTTAACTAAGACCAAATACGTAAAAATGTGTATATCTAAAAACGCCTGCTATAAATATAATTCTGCCCCATCGCCGCTTTATTCGTAATTGATATAAGTCAGTTTTATTAGCAATGGATGATATGTGACTAAGACAGGCGCTAGCCATGGCAACTGGTTGACAGTTGTTTCTAGTAATCTCGTGGATAAAAAGGCTACTCAAAGTCCAAAGAGTGGTTCGCGATTCAAAATTTACTTAATAGCTGCAGAAGCGCCATGTTGCGCAAGGGTAATAAATTAATGTTTGAAGATGAGACAAATTTACCTGTTATTTTCACTTTTCTCAACGGAACACTTGAACCCAGATAAATTCTTGGAATATTCTCGCAATATAGTGATTAACTATTTATAAATAATTAAAGATTATGTATATTAATTATTCTATGAATAATGAATTTTATTAGGTATGCTAAATATTCGATCATTTCTACAAGAACCAAGGATTATTCAATGTAACTATTGTAGAAATAATCGAACTCAGCTACAGAATATTCTGTGAATAAGAAACAAATATTCAACTAAGAATTCATCTATTTCAAATACATCCTTTATTTCAATTGCTTCATTAATTGTTTTTCTGGAAAACCAACCCAAGTATATTAAAACAAATAATTATCAAAAGTATTATCGATTATTATTGAAAGTTATCGATAATTATGAATTATCTATAATTATCGATTAACCATTTATCGGACTAAACAGACTTATCGATAACAATTTCTTTTATCGCCCAGCACTTGTCACACTTATGCGCTGTTGCAGGTTTCATTAATTAAAAGTAATAAAAAAAGGGGCTAAGAGCAAACGGAAGGTGGATAAAATATAATTAGTAGGTAATCTAGTGTAAAATCAGTGGGCATTGTTTATGTTTTATCATTTAAAAATAGACTACTGGATATCGGCACAAAATTGGTTAATACCTACCTAATTCCTCTTTTTCTGGTCAAATTTTCGTGAATGTTCATTCACTTAACATTAGGACTACAATCGTCAATACAATAAATATTTACCAAAAGTTAAATTTAAACATTACTTACATTGAATCTCGCATTGAACTATATGTTGAAACAATTCCACGATAACATTTTCAAAAGTTACAAGGCTTTTAAAAAAAGGCATGGAAAGACTTGTTAAAATGGCCTCGCTTATACGCGAAGGTTGACAGACAAAAGAGAATACTTCTTTGACAGATGTCATGTTTTGATTGTTGGTGACCGATCAAAAGATAGCGTTACAAAGCGGAAATTTATTTATATTTGAATTTTTTGGAATTTTATTAATTCTAAAGATCTAAAGTTCATTGTTAAGTTGTTCTTAATGTGAAACATTTCTAAAAAATTATAATTGGTAAATTGTTGATAAGGCACCTCAACAATCTTTACCTCATTGACGTTATACCTAATTACATGATCTAATTGATTATATTGCATTGCTAGTGCTAGTGCATAAGCAGAGCTGTAAATATTTTTAGAAAAAGAGTATTTTCGGTATCTAGTTACTGAAAGTATCTAAGATACTAGCATTGTAATACATATACAATGATAAAAGTACTTTTTTCTTGAGTTAAAAAGTAACTATGTTTTAGATACTTTTGTAAAATCTTATATAGATACCTACAATACAAGTTACTCTTCTAAAGTATCTAGATACCATAGAAAAGTAACTAAGATACCGCCTGCGCAGTGCCAATAGGATTCCATCTTGGTGCCGAGGACTTCCGGCATCCTGAGAGTCGGCACCGTTGGTTTTTTATATTTGTATAATCGCAGCTACATTTTTCACATAGGCTATATTGGTCCGGGAGAAAAAGGTAGTTTGTAGTCGCGGTGCCATAAGGGTTGCGGCAAGTTGCGCTTCGGTACCAGAGCTGGGTAAAGCCCTCTTGAAAAGGGCTTGAAGCACCGAGCACTTTGTTTTGATAAAAGTGCTTGCAAGCCCTAAGCACTTTTATGTGATTAAAGAGCTTGGAATTACCAAGCACTTTCTAAAGTAATTGAAAATACAAAGCACCAAGCCCTTGGAAAGTGCTTGAAACCATTAAAGTGCTTGAATCACAGTAATTGACAATATAAATTAATATAAATATAAAATATAAACAATATAAAGTACCTTTCATATTACTGGAAAGCAGGGTTTCTAGTCTATAACTTTTGAATGAGACGTCTGATCGAAAAAGTACGAATTGATTTGGATTCTACGCACCCAAATTAATAAGAAAAAGTGTTTTCCCGAGAAATTTTGGTGTAGTCGATTTTTGGTAAATAGTTATTTGTTTCATTAGTACAAAAAATGTCAGTTTTCGGGACGAGGAAGATAGTTGCTGGACGACGCGTTAGCGGAGTCCAGCAACCTTCCGAGTCCCGAAACCGCATTTTTTGTACGAATAAAACATAAAATTTTTTCTCCAACCCCCTTTACTTCAAATTATATTCGAATTTAGATTCAGTCACAGTTTCACTACTAGTATAAAAACTTCTGCTTTCTTGTCCTCACGTGTCATGCCACTCTAGTTTTTAGGTTAACTTATAACCTATTCGTTCTTACTTCTCACCTCTCGCGACTTTGTAGGGAGCAAATCTTGAGGTAGCATGTTCTGCCGTTTCTATAATCTCTATGGCGGAGTGCAATCCATGTCGCTATCAGTTTCAGTCATTTTATTGTATACACAATTAATATTGTTATATTTTGTATTGAAATAAAAAACTTACCGTACAATTTTTTAATTAAAATTAATTGCAATTAACTTTTTCAAATTTTGAATTCAAAATGACAGATAATAGTGCAAGGGGTCTGAAATAGATGGCGTTACGCGCGACGGCGGGTTGTATAGGTACGTATTAAAATTACGTTCATCGAATATGTAAATTACGTTACACATGGTTTAAATAAAAATAGCGAGCGTAAATCATTTTCAATACATGTACATACGTATAGGTAACAGCAAATTATTTGCATTGAATATGCAAAAATATTTGATTTGTATGTATAGAAATATCTTACAACCTGCAATGTAAAACGATGTCAATGTGACATATCTCCGTGATTGTAATTTTTTAATTGGCCAACTTTCAAGGTCAATTTCTTTTTGGTACTAGGACCAAAAGTATCTACTTTTGTACAGTTGCCATGGTGAAAGCGATTAATCCGCAAAACGTCAATTTTACGTACCGAACACTGTCACAAAATAGCGTCTTATTCAGGTGGTTGGAGAAAAAATCCTTTTTTTGAGCCCCGAAAAAAAATTGTCACAGATCGACCCGGAAAAAAATTTTTTCTTATAGAATGTGGCCTGTAGAATCCATAATTTCAACAGTTCCAAGATTGGGCTACTAGTTTAAAAGTTACAGCCCTTTGAATTTTTTTTCCAAATTTGTTTCTAATCTATAACTTTTGATTGAGAGGTCTGATCGGAAAAGTACGAATTGATTTGGATTCTACGCACCCAAATTAATGAGAAAAAGTGTTTTCCCGAGAAATTTTGGTGTATTCGATTTTTGGTAAAAAAGGAAGGTTATACACTGCCTTTTTTTGAGCCCCGAAAAGAAAATTATCTCAGATCGACCCGGATAAAAAATATTTTCTTATAGAATGTGGCCTGTAGAATCGATAACTTCAAACAGTTCCAAGATTGGGCTACTAGTTCAAAAGTTACAGCCCTTTGAATTTTTTTTCAAAATTGGTTTCTAACCTGCTGGAAACACTTTAAAAAACACGCTAGAAACAGTACTTCCGCATCGTAATTATACTGGAGGAATTAGTGGTTTTATCGCTAAAGTTTTGCTTGTCCAAATTTTCATTTAAAACGATTAGGTAAACAAAAAAATGTTGTTATCGGTACAGTACTCTCCCCGTACCCATGGGTAACGACTAATGTAGGAGTAATAACTGCATGTGCTATAAAAGTAGGTACTACAAGAAAAAAATCCAGAATGTTGCTCGGAAATTCCTTGGCACTTGTTACTTGTAAGTACGTACCTACCGAGACGTATCTTCTGAGATAATATTGAAATTAGTGATAGTAGGTATGTTACGTGAAGAAATGCACAGATAAAATTTGTAAACTTTTAGTATGTAGGTAATAATTCTTAATTACAAATATAAAAGGATAATAATTCCTTATAATCAAAGTAATACAGGTATAAGGGTTAAGACTTAATTAAAAAAATACTTGCAAACCAAAATTTAAACTTCTACTATTCTTGGTATTTACTATTTTGGCGGTTTGATGTTATTTTCTGGCCTTTTATAAAAATGTTTAATTTAGTGGCAAGTGCGTGGTAATTGATTAGGTACTTTTTTTGCCGTTCAGGTAATGTATTTTATGTATTATATACGCGACAGTAAATTATCTGATTATACCTATCGTAATAACTATAACAAAACTTAACGTATGCCTGTATGCCCTGTATATGATAGGGCAGCGTTAATAAATGGCAGAACTATTACGTCTTCCTTTCTTTGTACACGAAATCGTACGACCCCTTTCACAGGGAACCACACAATACGAAAAACAAGAAGTCAAAAGTGGGATGTGCAGACTGCAGACTAATCACTAATGAAGCACAGAACACGTAGGTAACGTCAGAGTAGGAGTGAAGGAATGAGTAAGACTAAGGGTTTTCTAAATTCGTCACCTAATTCACGATCAGAGCTTCGTTATGAAAGTGCTTGAAGCTCTGTAAGTGCTTGAAGCCCTTAAAAAGGGCTTGAAGTTCTTTGAAAGTGCTTTAAGCTCTTTGAAAATGCTTGAAGCTCTTTATAAGTGTTTGAAGCT